TCAGGCGTGTGCATCTCTCAAGGTGAAATCGGATGCATGACAAAATAATATTTTTGTAGCTTGAACTACACAAAAAATGAGTAAAAGTTTAACAAAATTTAATGATGTTCTATAAGAAATATATGTTTGTAGCTTCAACTACATAAAGTTGGAGTAAAAGTTTAACATATTTATTGATGTTCGATAAATTGTATGAATTTCTATGAATTATTTTGTATGATTTCAAGATTATGGTTTTGATTTGTTTTTAAATCTTTTTTCGTCTCTCTCATTGAGTCCATCAGGTTCAAGAGTTCGTAACTGGTGCATCCAAAATCTCTCTCTCTTTTGTCTTCTTTGTGTATCCAAATTTTGGTTTTTCTCAATGATTTGAAATGTGACGTTTTCAAAATCATGTCCTGCTCTTAAAAGATGTCTTGTGATTGAGCAGTTTCTTTCTTTTGTATAAAATGACCGATGGTTATTTTATTTGGATGTTAAATGGTGTTTCTGTTTCACCAACATATTGCAACTTGCATGTTCCACACGTTAGAACATAAATACAATTTTGCGTTTTGCAATTTGATGTTAAAAATATGTTGTATTTTTTCTTTGTGACTGTGCTGACGAATTGGGTTTCGATGTTGGCGACTTTGCAGCACTTACAATTGCCCCTTCCGCATGGTTTATAACCTTCTATTGTCGATACCTCCTGTTTAGATACTTTGGATGTTACTAGAATATCTTTGAGGTTTTTGGGTCTGCGGTAAGCCATGACGGGAGGTGATGGAAACATCTCTTTTAAGGAAGGATCATTTTCAATAAGACGCCAGTGTTTGTGGACAATAGATGAAAGATTTGTCAGGTCAGGATGAAAGCTAACAACAAACGGGATTTTATTTGTCTGGGCCGTCTTTTCTTTGTATTCGAGTAGGTTTGTTCTTATAACCTCTTGATTTAATTTGCTGTCTGAGTTGTCCCAAACGGTGGTTTAATTTTGATTCCGATGAACAAATCCGTTTTAACCTGATAGCTTGGCTGTACGGAATGCTCCGGGAACAGTGTTTAGGGTGACAACTCTTCGGAGTGAGAAATTGGTGTTTATCAGGTTTTTTTGTGTGAAGGTCGGTTGTCATGACTCCGTTTTCTAAAGTTATGGTGGTGTCGAGAAACGCAATTTTCTCATTTGAAACTTCAGACGTGAACTTTATAGATTGATGAAAGTTATTACAGAAATCGAGAAATTCTTGCAGACGTTCTGCAGTTTCGTTCCATTTGATGTCGATGTCATCAATATAACGGAGCCAAAACAAGGGTTTGTATGGTACACTCGAAAGGATGCGTTCTTCGAGACTCCCCATGAAAATGTTGGCAAAAGAAGGTGCCATTTTGGTTCCCATACTGGTACCGTCAATCTGCAAGTAGTGCTGGTCGTTGAATACAAAATTGTTGTTTTCGAGCACTAGTCTCAGCAACTGAACCAGACAGTCTGTTGGGGAATGTTTATCCTGCGATTGTTCCATACTTGTTCACAAGCGACTACTCCTTCGTTTTTTGGAATATTGGTGTATAAAGAAGACACATCCATCGATACCAAAATTGTGTTGTTTGGTAAGGGATTTAATGAATCCATTTTCTCCAAATAATCTGTTGTATCTTGAATGTAGGATGACATTGTTCTAACATGTGGTCTAAGATGGTAATCAACGAATTCAGATATTTTTCTGTTGGATGGCCATTGGCAGATACTATCGGTCTTCCCGGAATCCCTTCTTTATGAAGTTTTGGGAGCAAGTAAAATCGACCGGCTGTGCAGGTTTCATCAGGGCGTAGATAGTCGTACGTGTCGTCATCTATGTGCTTTTTGCTATTCGCCCTGATGAAACCTGCACAGCCGGTCGATTTTACTTGCTCCCATCGGTCATTTTATACAAAAGAAAGAAACTGCCCAATCACAAGACATCTTTTAAGAGCAGGACATGATTTTGAAAACGTCACAATACAAATCATTGAGAAAAACCAAAATTGGGATACACAAGGAAGACAAAAGAGAGAGAGATTTTAGATGAACCAGTTACAAACTCTTGAACCTGATGGACTCAATAAGAGAGACGAAAAAAGATTTAAAAACAAATCAAAACCATTATCTTGAAATCATACAAATTAATTTTTAGTAATGCATACAATTTATAGAAATTCATACAATTTATCGAACATCAATAAATATGTTAAACTTTTACTCCAACTTTATTTAGTTGAAGCTACAAACATATTTCTTATAGAACATCAATAAATTTTGTTAAACTTTTACTCAAATTTTGTGTAGTTCAAGCTACAAAAATATTATTTTGTCATGCATCCGATTTCACCTTGAGCGATGCACACGCCTGATGAAGCTAATTTGTTTAGCGAAATATTGCATATTTCTATTTAAAATCTAATAGAACTTTTTAATGTATTAATTAGCGTGTTTAAGTTATATTCTTAGACATTTATATAATTTTGATTTAGTTACTGTATCAGTTTATTTTCACAAACTGATCCACGCCTAAATAGATTGGATGTTGATTGTTGCTATTTTTAGACATTTTATATATATATATATATATTCAGACGAATTATATATACCACTGGTGATCCGATGGATAAAATCTGTCGTAGAGTTGTCACTTGTTCAGACTTTCTTATAATATAATTATTTCCGCGACTGCATCCTACATTAATTTGTAAGATCCTCTACGATAGATAATTCAACTGATCTGTATATTCCATCTTGTTGCCTTATATATCATGTACTGTGTTACGACGCTAGATAAAATCTGACGAAGAAAGGTAACACCCGGATACCGGAAGCTTAATTTTTGTCGAGCCTAGTTGGTCGAGTGGTCTAGCGCGACGGGCATAGTGCAAAGCGATTTGGTGCTACAATATCTCATTAGCAAGAGTTCGAATCCCGGCCAGGGAAGAACAAAAATTTGCCTCAGTTTGTTTGGCAGTTATTCAGACGAATTATATATATATTTTGTTATCCTTTTTAGAACATGTTGAACTCAAATTCAGAAAATTGTTAGAATTTAAGAAATTTTGTATATATTTTTGGGTTAAAAAATTATCAGTAAGGTTTAATAAAAAACTTTCAAACTTTCAAATTAAAAGTAATAAGAATTATTAACACATTGATAACAGTCAATAACAAAATCGAATTGAAATTAAACACTACAAAAACAATAAGAAGAACTGTTTTCTTTCAAATAAAAATAAGGACAAATTTGGATTTACAAAAGAATTTTGCAAATCCCACATGGGACATAAACCAATTTCTGAAGTGAAACTCATTTTCAAATCGAATATTTGCTTGGTAGCAAATGGGGAGGGAATAAAAAAAATAATCAAAGATAAATCAGTTTGGTCGATCTCAACTATTCCGTGAATAATGTTTTTGTGTCACAAAATGAATAGAAAAAACACCTGAAATAATAATTCATAGTATCATATATTTGTAAGAATGACAATACTTTAAAAAAGAGATAATCTTATGTCATTTTCTGAGAGATTAAAATCTTCAACTGTGGACATAGTGCCTATAGTATCTAAAACACATATGCATGCACTTATAATATTTCAATAACATATAACTGTTCCTCTAATGCATTGGAGGAAGTAGCTAGAGAAGAGTTGATACGTACCATTTACGGACAAATAAAAATTGGAATGAAAAAATATTTGAATTTTAATCATAAGCGTCAACGCAAAGAGCACAAAAAAGACGCTGACAATCACACATTGACTATAGTGGAATCTTGCTAGAGTTCAAATGGACAAGTAGTTAATGATACCGACTTGAGAAATATCCAGTATTTTTTACCCATGTGTATACAACTGTGATGGAAATAGTCATGCTAGGAAGATGTTGTAGAATTGCTTTATAGGCATAATTGATGCAAATATATTGCACTATCTACTTCAACAATCTGTTTTGTTGGCGTCCTTGTATGAATTATTTGTACGTTTGTTGAGATTATCTTAAGTCTACTGTTTTGAATATCATTGATGTACATTTACACAATTTTAGCGGCTGGATCCCAATTATTTCACGTAAACCAGTTATGGGTGTTTGGGTTGTTCACACAATTTTGTCAATATTTCGGAACTATAAACAGTTGTCACAAAAGTGAGAGGTTTTGCAGATATAAAACCAAGTTTAACCTGCCATTTTTTTGGGGTTTTGGAAAATGCCTGTTCAAAGTCAGAATATGACAGTTTTTTTTCTAGTTAGTTCCGTTCCGTTGGTTGATACAGTCAAACAATTGGTTTTGTTAGGTTTTATTGACTTCTCCTTTTATTGATTTACCCTGCACTTGGGTGTTTTAGTTATTACTTTTTTACTCTCATATCAAAACTCTTTCTCTTCCAAAGTCAATGCGTAAGGAAAATACATTCTATCAAGATCATAACGATACAATTTAATGACACACAGGGACAAATGGTGATACACTGGGTGGGTCGGCTGCTGTCAAATATTAAAAGGACTAATAAATTTCCAAACACCACAAGAAAGGCACCCTAAAGCCACAAATGTCCCTATGTATCAGATGATCCTATCCTTTTTTCCTATCATTTTATTTTCCTTTAAAATCCGGGAAAAAAACCCAACTTTTAAATGGTTTTTGGATGATCTAAAATAAACAGGCAGTACTTCGACCATAACCAGAAAGAGAAACTCTATGTTGAACGAATGTTAAAATTCATTTTTCTTTTGTCGATTCGAAATTCAGCCTAATAATTTTGATTGTAAAACGAAGCTACATTCGTTTAACTAAACATATTTAATCTGACTCTGAGCATGTCAGTCTTTAATTGTGGATTGTTATGTCGCGTGCTCATGGATATGCAGCAAATGAGAGTTTGAACAATTGAAACCTCCTATAGTCAATCCTTCAATACTCCACGTTCTATCATTTGATTTTAGATGTGGTTAAAGACATATTTATACATCAAGTAAAGTGATGAAAACGATTTACCTTGTGGAATCTGTTCCTAGATACTTTAGAATATATTCACTTCCTTGTAGTAGATCAATATGTTTCTCTATAAATATAGTAAATATATACAAATTTTCATTACATTTTATTTGAATTTGTTGAACTTTTCATTGATTTATAGTCCTTTAAGTAGAAAGCACACACTTCGGTCATAGTTTCTATGTGTTAAGATGCTTTTTTTTAAATGATAATGACCGAAAGGTATAAAAACAAATTAATAATGAAAGTAAACACTCTTAAAATATTTACATCTTTACCAAAAAGTAAAATCACAAAAATACTGAACTCCGAGGAAAATTCAATCGGAAAGTCCCTAATCACATGGCAAAATCAAAGGACAAAACGCATCAAACGAATGGACAACAACTGTCATATTCCTGACTTGGTACAGGCATTTTCAAATGTAGAAAATGGTGGATTGAACCTGGTTTTATAGCGCTAAACCTCTCACTTGTACGACAGTCTTATCAAATTCCGTTATATTTACAACGATGCGTGAACAAAACAGACATTATAAATAAAATGGTCAAAATATGGGTACAGCAGTCATCACTGTGTTACAATATCAAAACAAACAATTATTTACAAAAAAGAACAAAAGCATCTATCAAATTAAAAACCACATTCATTGCTTCGCGTGTCTGACGTCAGAAAATGTAAACGTCACATAAGAAGAAATTTTGTCATTCAATGTTTATTCCAAACAATTTTATAATTTCACATGTGGAATGTTGGTATACAGGGTTAAAAAATCAAAAGTTATGTTAGAATTAATTTCAGAAATAGACCGAGATTTAAAATTGTCGAGAAGTTCTTTAGAATTTTTAAGAATCCACATATGGTTAATACCACTACGGGAGTAAAATAAATTTGTCGTTTGTCGTTCAAAGTATTTTCAAATTTATAATAGAACAATAACATAATGACATATAATAGAACAATAACATAATGACGGGATCTTTTAAAGTACAGAGTCACGTTATAAGAACCACAGAAACACAAAAAGTCGCATATACAAAACAGACCAGCAAAAATGAAAGATAATACAAACACATTGACGGGATGTATAAGTACCTAGCCACGTCAAATGGATATCACAGAAAACTAACCAAACAGTAAAAGTAATATTAATATTAGAACAAAGACAAACGAAAGAACAATATTACACGTTGTTAAGATGATAAACAACGTCAGTATGCAGAATCTATACTTCAAGACCATCATGTATTATTTGTGAAGTTGATACGGAATATTTATCAACAAATTCCTAACATTTAATACACTTAAAAATACTAATCAATAAAGGGAGAGAAAAAAGTAAATAATTCAATGAAATAAACAATATCATAGGATTTTAGTTGAAATACATGATTTGCAAGTACTACGCGAAAAAAAAATGAAGTTATCTGTACTCCGAAAGAAAACGACGAGGAATAAAATCACAAGAGGACAATCAGAAACCAGACAGCACCCTGGCAAAAAATTAACAACCCAGAAATAGCTGTCCATAAAACACTTCACCGAAAACTAACGATTGGGCATCACAAACCCCATAACATTCTGAGAGGAGGATGACATCAAGTGCTACGGATGGGTCAGAATTTCCTGATCTACTATATTCATCCGCATTTTACATAAACAACAAGTATTGTTAAAATTACTGACACTGACGAAATCTATTTGTTCAGCCGAAATATTTTTATTTTATATATATATATATAGAAGTCTATAAAAAGGACTAACCAGCAAATTCAATATGTACCGGATCGTCTAGAATAGGCGATACTGCGCAGACAAGGACAAAAATAAAAAAGTCTAAATATTTGCGCAACAGTACTAATATAGGATGGTAATATACGAAGGTGATGTTATAAAATCATGTTGACAAATATTTCAAGAGTCTATCCTAAATTGAGGTAAATCATATGGCCTTCCAAATACCGTTTCGATCCCTAACATCACTGAAGAGACATTTATTGTCGAAATCCGGATATGGTGTACAAATTTTTGCACCTCATGTTTGTGGTATACCATCTTTTCCACAAGTTTATTGTTTTCTGTTTGGTATTTAATTAATATTAAGATCCATTTTGTTAGATCTGGTGATCAATTTATTTGGCAATCGCCAATGGCAGTCAGCAGGGTTTAAGAACATCAGTTGTTCGACCTGTTAGTCAAATGCGTTTTGTTAAAATAGACTTTTTCACTTGTTTTTTGGTCTTTTGGAAATTGTTGTTTGTGCTGTATTTAGACCCCTCTACCAAGAAATTTGTTTTGCATGCACACGTATAAAAATTTCGGTTTTTATCCAACGCAATCATAGGTTTGAACGTTGTTTTCAATTTAGACTTTTTATTTTTTTTTCGTTTGGGCTTGTATTATATTTTCCTTCGGGTTTATATGATCCGGTCATCCTATTTCGACTCTTTAAAATTCAAGAGTCTATCCTAAATTGAGGTAAATCATATGGCCTTCCAAATACCGTTTCGATCCCTAACATCACTGAAGAGACATTTATTGTCGAAATCCGGATATGGCGTACAAATTTTTGCACCTCATGTTTGTGGTATACCATCTTTTCCAAAAGTTTATTGTTTTCTGTTTGGTATTTAATTAATATTAAGATCCATTTTGTTAGATCTGGTGATCAATTTATTTGGCAATCGCCAATGGCAGTCAGCAGGATTTAAGAACATCAGTTGTTCGACCTGTTAGTCAAATGCGTTTTGTTAAAAAAGACTTTTTCACTTGTTTTTTGGTCTTTTGGAAATTGTTATTTGTGCTGTATTTAGACCCCTCTACCAAGAAATTTGTTTTGCATGCACACGTATAAAAATTGCGGTTTTTATCCAACGCAATCATAGGTTTGAACGTTGTTTTCAATTTAGACTTTTTATATTTTTTCGTTTGGGCTTGTATTATATTTTCCTTCGGGCTTATATGATCCGTTCATCCTATTTCGACTCTTTAAAATTCAAGAGTCTATCCTAAATTGAGGTAAATCATATGGCCTTCCAAATACCGTTTCGATCCCTAACATCACTGAAGAGACATTTATTGTCGAAATCCGGATATGGTGTACAAATTTTTGCACCTCATGTTTGTGGTATACAATCTTTTCCACAAGTTTATTGTTTTCTGTTTGGTATTTAATTATTATTAAGATTCATTTTGTTAGATCTGGTGATCAATTTATTTGGCAATCGCCAATGGCAGTCAGCAGGGTTTAAGAACATCAGTTGTTCGACCTGTTAGTGAAATGCGTTTTGTTAAAATAGACTTTTTCACTTGTTTTTTTGGTCTTTTGGAAATTGTTGTTTGTGCTGTATTTAGACCCCTATACCAAGAAATTTGGTTTGCATGTACACGTATAAAAATTGCCGTTTTTATCCAACGCAATCATAGGTTTGAACGTTGTTTTCAATTTAGACTTTTTTTATATATATATATATATATACATCCACCGATACCAGGATATGTCTTTGTCCTTAATTTACTCGGGATCACAAAGATAAAGTTAAAGCCTCGGTGAATAATGTTCAGAAACTTTACTGCGGTTGATCCCATATCAAATATTCTGCGCCCGAATAAGTTCTTTAACAATTCCAATATTTCACGAAGCTCTTGGCAACCCATCCTGAATCTGATCGTTGCATCCGGTTTGTCGAATATCTACTTTTTGCTTTTAGAGTTCCCGTAGTGATTTTTCATTATGGCCTGAAATGTTGAATGAATTCCTTTTGTTTTGATTTTGCTTTACAGTATGATCGCAAGCTAACGTTTTCCTAGTGTCCTTGAGTTCTTTGTATTCATGTGACAGACACAGATGTGTTCGTTTAATCTTCTTCCATACAAAATATGATACGGCGTAAACGGATCCTATGCATCCGTTAAGATGTAAGTCATCAGTTGGTCATTCAGGGTGCACTCGATTTCTGTTTTACAACAGCGCTGGGAATGTGTAAGGCAATATGGACACGCCCTAATGTTTTCCTAGACGATATTTCATTTATGTGAGTTTAATAAGTCACTCTTACCACTTAGGCTGACATTGTTTATATTCAACATAGTTAGACGCAGTGCTCCGTGAATAGTCTCTGATTTGAATATTTGTAAAATCTGATATAGCACTTTCATATGTAGAAGCATGAACATAAATTAATAGTTTTGCCAAAGTTACACGACTGATATTCTAATATGAGCGAATGTGCTCTTAAATCGCTCATGTGATCACCTCTGAACATTTAACAGGTCTTCGTAGATATGATCGAGCCATTGGAACAGGATCAGAAAGGGGAACGATTTTTACGATATCAGACTTTGCCGACAATGGACCCAGTCTTAAAAGAGAGGCGAAAGATATCAAAGGGACATTCAAACTCATAAGTCGAAAATAAACTGACAACACCATGGCTAAAAAGAAAAAGACCAACAGACAAACAATAGTTCACAAAACACAACATAGAAAACTAAAGACTGAGCAACACGAACCCCACCAAAAACTGGGGGTGATCGCAGGTGCTCTGGAAGGGTACACAGATCCTGCTCCACATGTGGCACCCGTCGTGTTGCTCATGTTAGTACAAACCCGGTAATAAGTCTAATTCGGTAGGTCACATTCGGGAAAAGGGAACGGGATTGTATGTAGTTACGACATTAGGAACATATCCGCTATCATCTGTGAAACGGATATTTCGTAACGGTCAACCAACTCGTGACGAAGGGATGATTTCAACTTCACCACTTGGAACTGTTGGTTTAATAGCTTCCTTGTGAGCAGCAACCCTCTTACAAGGAAATCATGATAGGAAATACAAGACCTGGAGTATCGTATCGAATGGGAGATGTATACTCCGTATGCAGGCGCTGCTGGATTGTTGCTACACAAAAATGGAAATATAACAATTGGGAAGCTGAAATCATCTCTTTTGTCATAAAGTTTTGTTTTCAACCGACCCCCATTGTCAATCTATAGATGTAAGTCATGATATAATGCAGACTTAACTGTATCTGTTGTATCCTTAATCTCAAGTTCGATGGGATAGATGAGTTCAACATAGTCACCAAATTTTGAATTATTTAGTGAGAGAACATCATCTATGTAGCGGAAAGTAAAGTTAAAGGATACTGCTAACTTCTTTTCTTTCTTCCTAAGAAGTTCCTGTATGAAGTGAGCCTCGTATGAATACAGGAACAAGTCGGCAAGAAGAGTGGCACAGTTGGTTCCCATGGGAATGCCGACTGATTACTTCAACCATACTTGCACCGTCCAGTTGATTCGAAAAAATCAGTACAGTTAGCTTAAAGTGACCGTGATTCTTGCAATAGACCATTCGTATGTTTGCCAAAATCCTATTTTTCAATTATACTTTGTATTTAAATGTCAATTTGCTTAATTGAATGATTGGTCAATTCAGTAAGACGTCTCGATCTTTAAAATCAACCTTTTCTTTAATATCCTCTTTAATTTGTTTGGTTTTTTTTCTTCTTTTTTTTCCCAACTTTTTCTAGTTCATTTATATCATACAAGTTTCGTTTACTTTTGCGTGAGAAGGAAGCTCACACAGATGTGCATTAATTTGAAAAGAATAATTGAAATGGCCCTTACGTACAACAGTCGATTTCTGGAGGAAAACACATACATTATGAAAACACACGAAAGCTTAGACAAACATATCAAGATATTTGGTGATGCATTCTAGTTTAACCAATATTTCATGTATTCGGTGGCAAATGATTAGAAAAAAGAAACATTTCGATAAATGCATATGCTATATATGTAAACTTTGCATGAAGATTTCCTACCAAAATAGGGGGTTTCTTTTAAAATGTGTTATGCTCTCCATCTAATATCAATAAATTACCTCTAAAATGTTTCTCATATAGTGCCACTTCATCTTCGTCTGGATTTGAAATCTCAATTTTAAAGTTACAATACTCTGTAAAAAAACACCGGTACAAATATTTGAAATGTATACAGTTTTGTTAATGCCTCCATACATTTTTTTGCAAACGTGTCTTAAGTTTTCATAGAGTTGCTGCTTTTAGTTGAAATAAAAATAATGAACATTTTTTAAACTTTTGACACTAATGCTGAACCTTAAAAGCTCATCATCAAGAAAAACTATTATACAGGGGTAAATATCCCTAATGCGCTTCCAATTGAAGAACACAAAAAAAGTACGTCAGCAACAAAAATATCATGCTTTAGCAAATGACTGAACTTCACCATTTGTGCTGATTTAATGAGTAGAGGATCATAGAATTATGGTGTAAAAACTGTGCAGTTATTAAATGTATATAAAGAACCAAATTTTTAAAGAACTTATTTGTGAACAAAAGGATTTTTTACTCGAAAAAAGCCGTATCACAAAGGGCTTTTTGGGGTATTCTAATTAACGGAAAAACGAATCTCACTTCGTACCCCGAAAAGTTAACCATATATGTAAAAAATGTCTCAGCTTTGAAATGAACTATCATACATATCCATGTTTACGATATAAACAGAGGAATTAAGGAAAAACGCACCGATACCGCCTACCTGAAATGAATTGCGCAGGTGAAGATTTCATATACAAAATATTTATATAGTGTTCTGTCTAACAAAAAAGGGGAAGGGAATAAAGGACAAAATCAAACATACGTTTATGAAAGACTTCAATATTACAATCAATGTCAAAACGTACGCCTATGCTTAAATGCAGAAGCATTTGTCATCTATATATCATGATACAAATCTTATATATATAGGTAGTTCTAGTAGTATATATGTATGTATTTGTATGCAATTCTTTGATATGATACAAATGCGTCTGTCACTAAACTAATACGTATCGTAATCATGGTAATAATGATAAATTCAAACCACATTCAAAAAATCCCTGATGAGAATCATCTTCGTTGTGGCTGTCATTTTCTTCTTCGGCTGAATTGACCTGCGACGAATGTTCATGCGTGTTGCAATCAGTCTGTTAAATAAATGAGTAAATTACGGAAAATGACAAACGCAAATCTCTGCAATTTTTAAAATATTTCTGTCTCATTAAACAGCATTTACTACATTGTCACATAAAAAGAAACACAGCTTATAGTAATGTTTCTATGAATTTAAAACTTCAAAGCAAATATAAAGCTACTTTGATGAATTTAAATCAACTTTGGTTCATTTATTTTATTAAGAGGATACTACGAGAACGCTAAAAAGTAATTGGTCGAAGATCGAGAGACAACATAATAGCCAAAGTAGATAGAGATCATCAAGCAGTTTTTAACCACACACATCCATCATATTGTTCGACAAGTAAAATATTGGTGATTAGGCACAAATTGATATTGGTAAAAAAACGAAGAAAGGGGGACATAGGATTGAGACTTGACAAATGGAACACATCTATGGTTATATGTTTGCGATAAGAAAACTCACCAAAGATACCAGACTTGTAATTCTGTACGCAAGACGCGCGCATCGTCTATTAAAGACTCAAAAGTGCCACTCGCGTTATAACACTTGGATGGCCAAATCAAATACGAAGTTGTAGAACTTTAAACACCGAAAATTCTGAAAGTTGTGCCAAAAAACAGATAGGGTACTCCAAACGTAGGATAGAAACATCTTAGCGTTTGAAATAATTCAAAATTATATAAGCAGAAAATCACCCTACCAATAAAAAGTGCTGACTACTGGGCTGATGGTACCCTTGGAGACGAAACGTTTACCAGCAGTGGGATCGACCCAGTGTTGTACAATCTTAAAACTGATACGCTGGAAGCTTGTTTCGTCTACATCGTCCAATCTAAAATTTGTGCCAAATACGGCTGAGACGGTCGATTTCTGAAGGTTGGAAAACCTTAGTGTTTCGAATAATTCAAAATATGACCAGGTCAATAATATTTCATGTCAAATATTGACTACTGAGCTGTTGTTACCCTCGGGGACGAAACGTGTACCAGGTCATCGACGATACCAGACTTATAATTTGTTATGCCAGACATGCAGTTCGCTTTCATAAGTATAAGTTGAGATCGAATAAAAAAGTCACACAATTGTGTCAGATACGGCTAACTTTAAATAAATCTAATAAAGACAGCAATAATTGTCTTTTTCTAGATTCGGATATTTCAGTTTCACCCTGGAAACTATACACAAGATATTGCGACAAAGGAGATGATTTTTTCCCTGTTGTTAATTTTTCCTTTTTGAACGGTGTAGTTCCTTTGGCTTCTTCTTACGGTGTGTACATTTCACAACTTGTACGCTATGCCCGTGTCTGTAGTCGCGATTTATATTTCAATGAACGTAATTTATGTATTACTGGTAAATCATTACGTCAGTGATTTCGTTATCACAAATTAATATCAAAGTTTACTAAATTTTTCCACAGACACAAAATTTGTTCAAATAGTTTGGCTGTATCTGTAGATTTGTTATCAAAACGGGATATCACATCCTAAATTTTACAGTGATATTTTTTATAAAGCCCGTAGATTAAGATATAATCAATGTGAACCCATTGCTGCTTTAAATAAACTTATTCTTAAAGGTTATTAATTTAACACCGTAGTGCAATCTTTAAATACTGTTTTTATATCGGTACTTACATTGATTGTGCTATTGATAAATTAAAACATACCTAAATATACATGGCTATATATGTACAGTTATGAGTACTCATGAACCTACATCCTGTCGATACTGTTTATTAATTTTGGGGCATTGAACAAGGTCATGCGTTATATTCAGACTGTTTATGACGTCCTTACACTAAATCCGTTGCATGTTTATTGATGGATATTTTAGTCTTGGGAAAACATGATGTATTTATTAGTTGTGATTAATTTTGAACTAGCTTTCAGTAACTGCAAGTATTCTTATATCGGCGCTTTGTGTCTTTTGATTTATGTTAGTTGGTTCATTTGTGCGTCATACCGATTAATTGAATTAAACCATTTTTCAACTGATTTTCAAAGTTTGTTCTTATAGTGTGCTATAATACCACTGTTCCAGGGTAGGGGAGGTTAAGCGCTCATAAACATGTTGAACCCCACCACATTTATGTGCATGTCTCAAGTCAGTTTGTAATTCAGCGGTTGTTGTTGGTTTATGTTTGTCATATATGTTTTTTTCGTAAATTGAAATGTATAAAGTAGGCCAATAGTGTTCTCGTTTGATTTGTTTGACATTTTTCATGTCTGGCCTTTTATAGCTTACTATATGGTATGTTTTTTGTTTTGTATTGTTTAAGGTCGTAAGATGACCCACAATTGCTTTTATCTTCGTCATTGGCATTCATACCACATCACATATATTTATAAGGCTGTCTATGACTGAGGGTTGAAGACGTGATGTTTCAAATATTTGTCCCTGTCCCATAATAAATATAATAACGATAATATGCTGTTCATTTTTTTTTTTTATCCTGGAATTTTTACATGGTTTCTTATTTTATTAAATTGTCTTGTTAAGCCATTTCAAGAGCAGACGGTTTCCAAAAGAATAATAGTGTATCTGTTTTTACTACTAGATAGATACATTTTGTATATCTGTAAGCCTCTAATATATGACCGACCCCAAATCTATGTCCTGTCCTCAAATCTGTGTCCGTTATTATATTGCGTCATAGACGTCCCAAATATATGTCCTTTATTTCATCAAATCTGTGTCCTTTTTAGAAAGGTATGAACTGTCCTATTGGTTGACGTAATTATTATCAAAACATCTTCGAGGAAATTTATTTGTTGTCAAGGACATCTGTACTACTTTACAAATGCAACAGTAAAGTAGACGAGAAATGATGAGATTTGCTTAAAAACACGGTATTAAAAAGCAATTATTAAAAAAAAAGGAACAGCTTCACATTTAGTCTATATAAAGACAACAGTAGTATACCGCTGTTCGAAACTCATGAATCGATAGAGATAAAAACAAATCCGGGTTACAAACTAAAACTGAGGGAAAGGCATCAAATATAAGAGGAGAACAACGACACAACAAAAACACAACATTGAAAATGTAACACACACAGAAACGAACTATAATATAACAATGGCCATTTCCCTGACTTGGTACAGGACATTTTAAGAAAAAAATGGTGGGTTGAACCTGGTTTTGTGGCATGCCAAACCTCCCGCTTTAATGGCAACGTCAAACACAACACCAAAACGACAACATCACATGACAGGACCACAATACAAATAAATGGGAGAACATATAGGACAAAGAAACACACGAATAATAGCTAACAAAAGGTACTAGACTTACAAAACTTCCAAAAAGTTGCGCCTAACACGGCCAGGGTTTTCTGCCTTGGACAAGAACATCCTTATTATTTAGAATAATTTATAATTTTGCAAACAGTAAATTTTATAAAATGACTATATAATAGATATACATGATAAAACCGAAGTGGGGACTAACTACAGAATAAAAACGGATACATTACATAAAAAACTTAATCCAACATATAAAAATACACAGCTGAGTTAGCCAAAGCATCAACGCACAAAGTGACGTCACATTTGAAATTCTAAAAAAACACACAAAGTGACGTCACATTTGAATTTGTAAAAATATTTCAAAAAAATAAGATAGGATTAGGATTGATTCAAGATTAGATTTGTAATACTGACATTACATATTAAAAACGGATTAAACTTACAGACACCGTTAAAAAAATTGCGAAAATTCTGTTGCTCAGGAAGTGTAATAAAGTCCTGTTTTTGGAAACACCTACATTAATTTGGAAATTGTCTGCATAGGGAGAAAGTGCGTAAAATGCTTGTTGGGAGAAATATCTTTATAATCTCCTTGCAGTTAATGTTGACATGTATCCGACATTGCAAGATACTCGTTAGTAAACCTCATATGTTAATAGAAGTCTATAAAAAGGATCGGACCAGTAGGCAAATTTAAAATGTACTTGATCGTTTAGAATAGACGATACTGCGTAGATGAGGAAAAAACTATAAAAGTCTAAAGATTTGCGCAACGGTACTTATATAAGATGGTAATATACTAATATCACGTTATACAATCGTGTTGACAAATATTTCGGCTTAAAAATAGCCCTCGTCAGTGTCAATAATATTTACAATACCTTATTGTAAAAATTATTATACAAGCCCTTATAGCTTGCTGTTCGATGTGAGCCAAGGTTCCGTATTGGAGGCCTTACTTTGACAAATAATAGTTTACTTTTACAAATTGTGACCTGGATGGAGAGTTGTCTCATACCACATCTTCTTATATCTATATATATTTATATATATACAAGTATAAATTGAAAACAACGTTCAAACCTATGAATGCGTTGGATAAAAACCGCAATTTTATACGTGAGCGCAAAACAAATTTCTTGTTAGAGGGGTCTAAATACAGCACAAACAACATTTTCCAAAAGACCAAAAAAGTGAAAAAGTTTATTTTAACAAAACGCATTTGACTAGCAGGTCTAACAACGGATGTTCTTCGAACAAAATGGATCTTAATTATTAATTTAATACCAAACAGAAAACAATAAACTTGCGGAAAAGATGGTATACCGCAAACATGAGGTGCAAAAATGTGTACACCGTATCCGGATTTCGACAATTAATGTCTCTTCAGAGATGTTACATATGTATATGTAGCACAAGTATTATATGTATACATACATATACAAGTAGCACAAGGATTGAGGACACATTTGGACAGATAATTAAATTGTTGGTAATTCAGTTAGAGAACATATATTTAAGGCCGAAATTTTTACACGGACATATATTTACGAACGACGTAACGATTGGACACAGATTTGAGAAAAGGACATAGATTTAGGAAAAGGACACAGATTTCAGTAAAGGACACATATTTGAGAAAGGGACAAGGATTTGCAAATGACATAACGATTGGACAGATATTTGAGGCCGTACAAGAATTTGAGGCTTGCATATAAAAAGCATACTTGATTTTCTCCTACGCATTAAATCCGTAATACTGTCTTACTTCAGGTTACTTATAAACCGGACATTGCTTTTCAAGTTGACTTTTTGAATCTCCCTTGGAGTTCGGTATTTTTGTTGTTTTTCTTTTTACATGACGACGATGACAAAATACATTATCTCGACTCAAAAAGTTAACTTTATTTAAACTTGAGTCTGCAAGAAAATCGATTAAGTTATAAATCTCGAACTCCAAGGAAAATTTGAAACGGAAAGTCCTTTATTAAATGGCAAAATCAAAACCTCGAACACATTAAACAAATGGAAAACAACTGTCATATTCCTGACTTAGTACATGCATTTCCTTGTGTAGGAATTGTGGATTAAACCTTGTTTTATAGCTCGCTAAACCTCTAACTTGTATGACAGTCGCATAGAAATACATTATATTGACAACAAAGTGTGAGTAAAACAAACAGACAAAATAGGTAAAATGTAAAAAATTGGACTACATGACCTTTGATGCTCACTGACACAACTTTGTAACCCAATGAATATATTATGTACGTTCATAAAGAAGAATAACACAATACAACAGACTTCACAGAGATTTCCACTTAACCATAGCAGTTGTAAAACAAATAAAAATTGGTCTAAATTCAATATTGAAAATGTTTACATTCTTTAGACTTAAAATATCATTTAAAAAAAAAAAAAAAAAAAAGGAAAAGAAACATTTCAGCAGGCCTTTTGGTGGACTTACCTGCAAAGTCTGTCCGGCATACAAAATTGTCGGGTCTGGACTTTCATGGCGAAATCTGCATTTGTCTCCAAAAAGACAGCTATTTGGCTCTCCGCTGATGATATAAATAAGATTTCAATTACAACTAAAAATGGATGATATTTTATTATATTTTGATGATTACTATTGATATATTATCAATAGTTCTGGGTTTGGTTAACGTTTTCTATATGTAACATTTTTATAAGTCATTTTAATGTACATGACCTTGAAAGATCACTGCGTAAATCAACTTAATTTTTCCCTCGCTATGCTCATCCGAATTTAAAGTATATCATTACTACTTTTTTAGTATAAATAAGACAAAACTTTAATAAATATTTGGTTGCTCGCAGTAACTTGTATATTTATTTCTGGCAAACGATATTTGATAACATAATAATCTAAAACATGTTTAATTACAATATAAAATTTGACATTTTCATACAACAAATTGTCCAACACATCACAATATGAAAATAAAAATAAACTTTATATATATATATATATATATAGTTTATGATAAGATCTATTTTGTTACATCTTGTGATCCGTTTATTTGGCAATCGCCAATGGCAGTCAGCAGGGTTTAAGAACATCAGTTGTTCGACATGTTAGTCAAATGCGTTTTGTTAAAATATACTTTTTCACTCATTGTGCTGTATTTAGACCCCTCTACCAAGAAATTTGTTTCGCATGCACACGTATAAAAATTGCGGTTTTTATCAAACGCAATCATAGGTTTGAACGTTGATTTCAATTTATACTTGTATATATATATAGATATATATATATATAGATATAAGAAGTTGTGGTATGAGACAACTCTCGATCCAGGTCACAATTTGTAAAAGCAAACTATTATTTGTCACAAAGTAAGGCCTTCAATACGGAACCTTGGCTCACATCGAACAACAAGCTATAAGGGCCCCAAAAATTACTAGTGTAAAACCATTCAAATATCCATATGATCTATATTCATAAATATGGCAATAAACGGCAAACTGTACGTTGTATATGTTGTGTACAAGTTATCATTTTGTACAAATTATAATTTGTCCAAAAAAATAGTACAAATTATAATTTGTATTTTGACTTTGTACAAAAATTGCTTGTACAAATTACTATTTGTACTAAAAATGCTTGTACAAATTACAATTTGTACAAACTTTTACTAAAATTCACTTATAACTTGTACAATGATTTATGGTATGGATATTGTTATAAAAAATTAAGCATTGATACACACTATAGAATTTTATTCAATGACCACACAATAAACCTTATTTACAAAATATAAAAATAGTTCTGTATCATTTGTGAGTGAGTTATGGCATCGGGAATTGCACAACATCTTTTGCTTTTTACATTTGGATTTAGAAGTGCTGCTCCCCCCCCCCCCCCCCCCTTGCATTTACATGATAGAAAATCTGGCCACCAGTTTTTGGAAGATTTTTAATTGCTTCACGTGGCGAAAGATGTAGCTTAGAAACCGTTGCTACGAATACAGATGTGTCTTTAATAGCTTCAATTTGATTTCTCGATAAATATCATGTTAAAATTCCTACAGCTGTTCCAAAGCGGTACCCAAATTCTCCAGATTCAATAATTACGCATAAGATATATCGAGGATATGTTGGGGCACGATTATACTGAGGAGTTGGTATAATGACATTATTCCCCACAGCAAGTTCTGATAATTTCTGTTTCGTTTTCATGGTAATTTATTCGGCTTGGATCTGTTGGCCAGACAGCGCACGGTTCCTGGCACGTATGATTGGTTTGTCAACGTCAGTGTCATCCTAATTGTCGCTGGAGCTAATTTCTATTAGACTATCAGAATTGTCAATGAGGCCAATTTTTATTATTCTATCAGAATTGAAAATTGGTCCAATTTCTATTGTACTATCAGAAGTAAATGGCATGAATGTATCAATTACATTTCTTGTCTCCATCTTGGTATATTTGTATTTTGTAAATAAGGTTTATTATGTGGTCATAGAATAAAAATTCTATAGTGTATATCAATGCTTTTTATAACAAAATCCCTGCTATAAATTATTGTACAAGTTATAAGTGAATTTTAGTCGAATTTTGTACAAATTGTAATTTGTACCGGCACTTTTTGTACAAATTACAATTTGTACAAAGTCAAAATAAAAATTATAATTATATAAATTATGATTGTTTAAGATATATATAATATTTACAAAATACTTTCAGTGACAACTCTTCATCAATTTAAAGATTCAAATTTTTATCAAAACAGGTAAAACTGTGGAAGTTTTAACTACATGTACATTTATGACAGAAAAATAGACACAATTATAAGATTTCATTCTAAATCCATAACTATAAAACATCTTCTGAAAGTGTTTTGGATAATGACACTATTCCTGTTTTATATCAAAACTGATTGTTCTTTTTAGAAACCAATTATTTATTACTTCTATGTAAACCAGATATTTATCAACTCATATATTCGTGCCTTACGCCATTCAAATATAAGAATACTATGTCTAAGTTCGACGAGATGTAGATACATCTAAACCTCGGGTCACAAAATAAGCCCCTTTAAGAGCAAACTTATTCTTGCATTGTTATCATGCATCACTGTTTATGCTCAAATTAACTCAGTAATGATACGTCAAAATTCCAATATGACTGTTATGAGGGTTTTTTTTTTTTTGCTTACTGTTTGCTATTTAATTCATGTTTGTAATGTAGTAAAAAAAAATATTGCCTTGAATTTGACAGTTATATGAAATTAATCCTACATTTTATTGCAGTAAAAAATTGCTGGGTCATAAACATATACATGATATATCTTGGGTGTTTCACAGCACCGTTTTTTTTATTTGGTGTTTCTATAAAATATTTTTGAAACTTGAGGTAACATGGTTATTACAGCTTGTAATCAAGAAAAAAGGGGTGTAAAGTTTGATTGGTTAACTTCCAGTGATGGTTATTATCTTATATGCAATGAAATGTTATGTGAAATTTTGTCTGTATTACTAGACAGGATAAAACTTTACTCATGCCAAGTATTTCTTTATTTGAAACAAAGATAAATTCTGCACAATTTTTTTGAAAAGTGCCAATTTAACAAAGACTAATTGAGGAAAACAATGGTGGTATAACGCCTATTTAGGGGAGCTGCACGTGAACATTTGACCTTGTTTGTACTCTCATTTGTTAAAATGTTATGTTACTTCAGTGAAATACTACAAAAAAGAAATATTCTGAGTGGATTGAGTCTCAAAAACACATTTTTATAGAAAATGGCCTTGAAATAGGGCTCTACCATGAGTTTTAATAGGCAGAGCAGGCCATATTCAGTGTTTTGGGGAGTTTTTTTTACTTTTTCTCCTTATTTCCTTTAGTTTGCTATAAAAGGAACCTTTCCTATGTAATACTTAAAGAAATAAACAGTTGTAGGTAAATGAAATTTTTTTTGAAGCAGTAACAACAAATTATTCACTCAAGGGGAAGCATTTTATGTATCTCTCTATAACGCGCCGTAAACTTTACGTAAGGAAACCTCCATGGAGTAATTTATCTTTTATATGTATTGTTCATTCAGCTTGAACACTTCAATTATTCATTTATTATCACATTCTTTGCATAAATGTGTGATAGTTCCCCAAAAGTTTAATTTATGGGCCTAAAAAGTGCCAATTTAACAAAGACTAATTGAGGAAAACAATGGTGGTATAACGCCTATTTAGGGGAGCTGCACGTGAACATTTGACCTTGTTTGTACTCTCATTTGTTAAAATGTTATGTTACTTCAGTGAAATACTACAAAAAAGAAATATTCTGAGTGGATTGAGTCTCAAAAACACATTTTTATAGAAAATGGCCTTGAAATAGGCAGAGCAGGCCATATTCAGTGTTTTGGGGAGTTTTTTTTACTTTTTCTCCTTATTTCCTTTAGTTTGCTATAAAAGGAACTTTTCCTATGTAATACTTAAAGAAATAAACAGTTGTAGGTAAATGAAATTTTTTTTGAAGCAGTAACAACAAATTATTCACTCAAGGGGAAGCATTTTATGTATCTCTCTGTAACGCGCCGTAAACTTTACGTAAGGAAACCTCCATGGAGTAATTTATCTTTTATATGTATTGTTCATTCAGCTTGAACACTTCAATTATTCATTTATTATCACATTCTTTGCATAAATGTGTGATAGTTCCCCAAAAGTTTAATTTATGGGCCTAAAAAGATGAAATTTTGAGGAAATGAGAGGTATAAATGAACCAAAAGGGACCTTTTAATGAAGAAAAAGAGGTCCATTAGTGGTATTTATTGTCTGAGGTCAACGTTTATTTCATATTCAACTGTTTGTATGAAGATTTGACGAATATTTGATCATTTATTGGTTCACACTATATTCTAACATGATGCAGCATGATTTGGACATTTCAAAGAAATTTTGCTCAAATCGCTGTAGATATCGTCTTACACAATACTAGATTTCTCTCAAACTATTGAACTGATTATGACAAAACTTGCTACTATTGCTTGAAATAACCATTATTACAAAGGAAAAAAAACACATTAACTTTATTTCACAAAAAAGTCTTCTTCAGGGGAGCTGTACATGCACCTTTGACTTTGTATTTACTCTCATGTGTTATAATTTTATGCTATTTCAGTGGAATATCATAAAAATGAAATATTCTGAGTGGATTGAGTCTCAAAAACACATTGTTAGAGACAATTGCCTTGAAATAGGGCTCTACCATGAATATTAATAGGCAGAGCAAGCCATATTTAGTGTTTTGGGGAGTTTTTTCTTATTTCTTCTACTTATTTCCTATATTTTGCTATAAAAGAAAACTTTTCCTATGTAATACTTTAAGAAATATATACAGTTATAAGTAAATTAAATTATGTTTGAAGCAGTAACAACAAATTATTCACTCAAGGGGAAGCATTTTATGTCTCTCTCTGTAACGCGCCGTAAACTTAAGTTTTACGTAAGGAAACCTCCATTAAGTAAACTTTTATATGTATTGTTCATTCAGCTTGAACACTTCAATTACTCATTTATTATAACATTTCTTGCATAAATGTGTGATAGTTACCCCAAAAGTTTAATTTCTTGGCCTAAAAAGATGAAATTTTGAGGAAATGAGAGGTATAAATGAACCAAAAGGGACATTCTAATGAAGACAAAGAGATCCATTAGTGGTATTTATTGTATAAGAGTCATCTTTTGTTTCATACTCAACTGTTTGTAAAATTCCAGAAGAATGTAACCATTTTCACAATATATACTGTTTAAATGTTAACGCTTTTTAAGAAATATAATAACTTGAATCATGGACCTTATACTGCGGACCAAATAAGACCCTTGTCGCACCTACGCCACATATTATGTATTGTTTTATTTCAAAATGGTATCATACAATATATTACATCTGGTTTTTTTAATCAATTCAGATGAAAAGTAGTAAAGACTAGCCTAATAGCAATCGATTGTGTTGATATTGTTTCAATTAACTTCTTGGATTTAGACTTGGGAAAATGCTTACTATATAAGTTATCCTGTGTCGTATATAACATATTCAAATGAAAACAAAATCTTGTCAAAGACACCAGGCTTATAATTGTGTACGCCAGACAATAAGTATGACACTTGAGTATCAAAGAAACCTTTCAACGTCATTGTACAAAAAAAAATCGCTTATATATTCCGTTCTAAATATCTTTATTTTCAGCCAAAAATGACTATACAATTATATCCCAATGGTTGTTTATATTCTTTCTTATAGTCTTTGCAACTGTTCACCGTTAAAAAATATCTTTTTATTAAATAACAAAGGATAAAGTATGTTTTTTATCAAGTAGCTCGAAGTTATCTCTACGAAAAAAAAATGCCATACATTTCTTAGCTTTTACTGATTTTCATTTTTTTAATCGATTGCTGGTTTAGGTATGCTGAAAAATGGTCCAACAATCAAAAAGAAAGAATGTTTCAATCTGATGCAATAAAAGACTTCAAAATTCTCTTCCAATCCTGGTTATTGTTTATTTGAATATGAATGATTAAAAAAGACCGCGAATAACTTTACATGTAGATAGGCGACGCATATATTTTTAGCTATCAACATTGAATGACGGTGCGCGACATGTTCCTTTGTCATAAAGTCAAATATGCCAGTTTTGACGTTTTTGTGTACCACCATTAAAGACATTTCTGCACTAAACCGAACAGATTATTTCTATATAAATATAAAGCATTTTAATTAGTCTTTTAGTATCATTGGCTTATATCATACTTTCTTTTTTGTACGTTTTGAAATATAATTAGTTCAGTTTATGTTTACAAGATCACTCTCATTTATTATAAAGGGTACCTTGTATTTAGTATGTGTAAGTATGGTTTTTGTCTATTGTCTATTTCATAAGAAATGTTTAAACACACAATACAATACAATAAATGACAAGACATGTGACATTTAACAGAGACATTTAGGAAAAGAAAACATCAAATTTGATAGTTTTAAAAATAAATATACATACGTGAAATGTTTACACAATTTAATTGCAGATGGATCTAATTCAGTGTGTTTAAATTCACATTTCTCGCCGTTTCGGCATCCCGCTTTACTGTTGAAGTATTTGCAAACTGTTTCATCCATATTGCAGATCTGAGTGATTGAAAAATACTTTCATTGTCTTAACGTGCAAAATATTTACATCTCACTTCTAAGAAACAAGATAAAACAAGCGCCTTGGCAAACCAGAATCCCAATTATTTCAAGACAACACTATTGTTTTAAACTAAAGTGTACTGAACTTTTAAAATCGGGTCACTTTATATTTTGGAATATCGGCTGTATATTTTTTCTATGGTGTAAGGCCGTTCCAACTCATTTTCGTTTGATTCCAATTTGAACATACTGGTAACTAGGTGTTTCATTTCATATTAATCTAATGAATATTATCAGAATCATAGTTCAAACATTTTCTTAAAAGGAACCTACGCACTATCATTATGTTTCATTGTCCAAATTGATGTCGAAATCTAGAAAATGTCACCACTCTGATGTGGCCTTTTTTGTCTATGAATGTGAACGAATTTAAGGAATAAAATCGTCAAATGTTTTATTTCACAAACATTAGCCTCAACTCGAAACTATTCATCTTGAAAATTTGGAGTAGATAATAAGGCCTTTACTTAACTTACTTCTTAAGTACTGTTCTTTTTTTTTGCAGCTGTCTTAGTTCTTCTGAAGCATGGAAAAGCGTGTGATCAATCTGAATAAAAAGAATTATGAATGTGTGAAGGTTACTAGAATACGTCTTTAAAATCCAATGAAATGAAAATACGTATCAGTCGAGCTGCTATTACGTAATTAGAATATATTCCGAACCCGAAGAACAAAATAATAAAAGTCCAAAATATTGTGCCAAATCTGGCTAAATTAGTCCTTCTCAAAACTTTTAAAAGAGGCGAGGATACCAAGGGGACATTCAAATTCATAAGTCTAAGAGAAACCGACAACACCATGGCAAATATTAAAAATCAACGTAAAACAAAAAAGTTCACACAACACCATATAATAAACTGTAGACTGATCAACACCAACCGCACAGAAAACCTGCAGGGATGTGATAAGTATATTCTGTTTTAACTTTCGATTAAATATACTAAACTGTTGAGCCAGCAAATAAACAAATGCTAACTTTAAAACTGATTTGACTCCAGTTATCTTCAGTTGCGGACTTATTAAAGGCTACTTTATCGCCAATCATTACATAAATTATTGGTTTTTGTCTGCATTTCAATTATCTTAGAACTGATCATAGCTTTTAAATAGAAACTGTCACAAGTCATCTTTGACCAATCAAATTATCTGGTTGTCACGCTTATCCGATATTTTCAAATGATAAAAGGAAAAAATGAAAATGAAGACAAATGTGAGAATTTTTTGTTGTCTCTTCATTTGGAATTTGTCAAGACGTCATTAAGCTTTTTCGACAATTAAAAAGTGATTTTGCGCAAACAATGCTCCACTTTTTGGAGCAAGCTATTGCAGGGAAATGGTTTTAAGAATTTTCCCTTAAATAATATAATATTAAGAAGACATAGTAAGATTGATCAATGAGACAACATTCCACCACATTTAAAATTCCTTTTTCTACTTTAGATTTTAACTTATTACAATTGAATGATTTAACAGATGATTAACAAGTAATAAACTCACCAGCACATTACAACGATTATTAATTCAGATGAGCAATATATTTTAATCTGATCATTTATAATTGCATTGTGTTATTATCTAAGTTTGTTATCTTTATATGTAAATATGAAACAATATGACGACTCATAGATACGTGTATATATATAGAGAGAGATTTTGTTAAAATATACTTTTTCACTTTTTTAGTCTTTTGGAAAATGTTGTTTGTGCTGTATTTAGACCCCTCTACCAAGAAATTTGTTTTGCATGCACACGTATAAAAATTTCGGTTTTGTCCAACGCAATCATAGGTTTGAACGTTGTTTTTTATCTAGACTTGTTTTTTTTTTTTTTCGTTTTGGCTTGTATTATATTTGCCTTCAGGTTTATATGATCCGTTCATGCCATTTCGACTCTTCAAAATCCAAGAGTCTGTCTTAAATTGAGGTAAACTATATGGCCTTCAAAATACTGTTTCGTTTCCTAACATCACTGAAGAGACATTAATTGTCGAAATCCGGATATGGTGTACTAATTTGTGTACCTTTTGTTTGCTGTATACCATCTTTTCCGCAAGTTTATTGTTTTCTGTTTGGTATTAAATTATTAGTTCAAATCTATTTTGTTACATCTGGTGATCCGTTTATATGGCAATTGCCAATGATTAACAAGTAATATAGTTTTTATCAGCAGGGTTTAAGAACATCAGTTGTTCGAGCTGCTAGTCAAATGCGTTTTGTTAAAATAAACTTTTTCACTTTTTGGTCTTTTGGAAAATGTTGTTTGTGCTGTATTTAGACCCCTCTACCAAGAAATTTGTTTTGCATGCACACGTATAAAAATTGCGGTTTTTATCAAACGCAATCATAGGTTTGAACGTTGTTTTCAATTTAGACTTGTATATAGATATATGTTTATCAATAAAACGTAAGAGATGATTTGAATGTTCTCATTAAAATAGCAATATGTCCTTATAAGTTTTAAAAATTGAGAATGGAAACGGGGAATGTGTCAAAGTGACAACAACTAGTCTTAAGAGCAGAAAACAACTCAAGGCCACCAATGGGTCTTCAACACAGCGGTGAAAATCCCTCACTCGGAGGCGGGTTTTAGCTGGCCCCAAAACAAAAATGTATACTGGTTCAAATGGACGTCACACTAAATTCCGAAACATATAAATGAACCAAAATGAAAATAAAAAACACACAAGACTAACAAAGGCAGAAATGTTTGATTTTTGTGTTTAACGCCATTTCCACACTCTTGGCTATTTCAATAAGGCAACTCTGTATTGGTGAAAGAAGCCACGGTACCCGATTAGACACCAACGACATTCGACAGGAGGTCAAAATCTAATTCAATTGATATCAAAGTCGAATTCAACTTGCCACAAGTGGTAATTTCACCTACTAGTGTTTACAACCTAGCGATTGATGTAGACGAACAATTCTGACCACATGGTCACATCTCACAATTTACATATTGATGCAGAGTTTGACAGTTATCACTAAATCTTGCCTGTCAATACAGGACTCGAATTTGTAATCCACTCGCAGCAAACCACAAGTTTGTTGCAATCATATCTTAATTGACTAGGATTATCATTTTTAAAATATGGCTAAAGATAAAACATAGGAGTAAAATGTAAGTTTTGTCTATTATTTTGAAAACCATTATAGACCGAGAAAATCTGACGGAAGCAAAAATGGTCAGCATGTTGAGCTATACCAACTTTATACGTCAAAACTGTCACACGACTTCTTATGGGAAATGTTTCCCTTAAATGACAAATTTTACATTTTTTTTTTTCATTTTTGCCTATTATCGTGAAAACTAAATTCAGTAAAAAATCTCCCATTGACATGATTGACCTTGATGCATTTTTTATGTCTTGAATTAAATTTATACATGGTTTTCCTTTAGAAATCAGAAGCTTTCATATGTCATTCATTAAAGTCCAAATGTAGCCCCACCTTTTGCAACAATAGAAACATAGGGTCATGCGGCATTTTTGGGCATTCACATGGCCATGTTTTTAAACAAGGCAGATTCGCACTGAATTCCTATACTGACCCCAATTACTTTTCAACCCTGTAGTAAAAAAATAAAGTGCATTCAGCATTCATTTTTTTTTTTTTTTTTTTAACTCTAGCTTTCATCCATCTACCAAAAAATATTTATAACAAACATTAACTACCAATCAGAAGAGCACAGGTCTTCAGCGTTATACAGAAAGTTCTCCCCCAACTGGGCGGTCCCTGATGACGTATATTTATTTACTGAATTTACGCCCATAAGGGACATTTTTTCCTCATTTCCTATTTTTTTTTTGTATTGATCATGTAATTTATCCAATTTTCAAGTTTCAGTTTAATTACAAGATTCATAAATGCTAAATTTATAAAGATAGAGGAAAATTTATACTAAAGCCCATACTGCGGCCAATGTGTATTTTGTATATAAAGTTGCACATCGACTGTTTTCAAAAGAATGATGTAAAATAATATACTCAATAAATATGAATTGTTTTATGTGTTTGCTTTGACCAATATTGCAAGTACATCTAAGAACTAAAGTATTGATGTACTTTAAGTTAAATTTTGCCTGATATGGAAGTATTTGAATATATGCACTGAAAATGACTCCCAAGAGGCTTTTCAAAGGCTTTTTAAGCAGTTTCATATCCAAAAAAACAACAATTATGTTTCATTTTACTACATCTGTGTTTTAATTACTTGTAAATTTCAAAAACTGTAATTTACAAACATTCTGCAGAAATTCATGTTAACCCAACATCAGGATGGTTTCTTCGCCAAAACTTGACAGCCAATACAGAAGAAGAAAATGTGCCAAATATGAAAAAATTAGACTGAGTATGACCAAACTTTGCATTTGAAAGATTAAAGTAACAATTTAGAATATTTGAAAGCAATCATTTAGCATGGCAATCCAAATACAAACATTCCAACACCAGTTTGATAGAAGAAGGTCATCTAATCCTGGAAAGATGTCCAAAATGATTTTAAATTAAAGAAACGTAATGAATTATTAAAAAAAATGAATATCTTCATTCGGTCAGATTAATCGAGTGTTAAAATAGTTTAAATAGTGCTTAATAACAACTTGATCTGCAACTTTACATGGGGAACACTACTAAAAAAACACTTTTCAAAGGGAGGTGATTCTGATTTTGTATATGATTTTAAACTTTATTAGAAGAAATATGTGCAAAATTTGATGTAAAATGGGGAGAATATTTATGTCTTTCATCAATTTTATAACTCTAAAGAGTAATATCTAGTGTTTCTTTCAATCTGGACACAAAACTGATTTTTCCCATATACCCCATGCTTCCTCCCACTGTATACTCAGTGCATCCTTGCCAGCCGCATTTAAACATAGAATTTTGTATAAAAATAACTTTAACTGGTTCCAAAAGGCTTCCATTTCATTAATATTTACAGGAAATTAGCTATGGATTTTTGTGTGGCCTTGAAAATGTACAGTGACAGAGTGCATATTTTCCTATATGGGAAAATTCAGTAAAAAATCTCCTATTGACCTTAATGCAAATCTATGTCTTGAATTAATTTTATACCTGGTTTACCTTTAGAAATCAGAAGCTTTCATATATAATTCATTAAAATACAAATGTAGCCCAATCTTTTGCAACAATAAAAAAATAGGGTCATGCGGCATTTTTGGGTATTCACATGGCCTTGTTTACAAACACGGTTGATACGCACTGAATTCCTGTACTGATCCCATTACTTTTCAACCCTGTAGTAAAACAATTAAGTGCATTCAGCATTCATTTTGTAAATTTTTTTTAACTCTAGCTTTCATCCATCTACCAAAAAATATTTATTACAAACATTATCTACCAATCAGAAGAGCACAGGTCTTCAGCGTTTTACAGAAAGCTCTCCCCCAAACTGGGCGGTCCCTGATGACGTATATTTGGTTACTGCATTAACTTCTTTAATTGACCTTTTTTCCTCATTTTCTTTTTTTTTTTGTATTGATCATGTAATTTGTCCAATTTTCATGTTCCAGTTTCAATACAAGATT